GGCTCTTTGTCTGAAGGGGCGCGATGGCTCTTTCTTGAGTGGCCAAAAAAAAGCACCCCATGGATGGCACCCCGTGGGCGACGTGCCCCCTCCCAGCTCTGGGTAAGGAGGACGCACGTTGCCCCAGAGGTTGGTCCCTTTGCTTTTTGGGATGGGGCCCTTCGTGGGGGGAGAGGCTGGTGGCGGGGAGGGAGGGGACCCGCCGAGCAGGGAAGCCTGGGTCTCCCGGCAGGTCTGGCCTCCTCGGCAGGTTGGGCCGGTTTGGAGGAGCTGCAGGGCCAGGGAGGCTCCTGGGCGGCCCCCCCCCGAGCCTCACACCCCATCTGATGGCAGCTCACGGCACCCACAGCAGGGAGCTGGTGGGGTGGTTGAGAGTGACCCACGCACGTGGGGCAGACTGGCAGGAGGGGTGTGGGGACCGAGGTCCATATAGCTGGGAAGGGGATGGGCCAGAAGTCGTGACTTTCACCCCGCCTTAGTCACCTCCTTCATCTGTGCTGCGTCCACGTGTGGTGAGTTTGTTCAGGTCTCAGCCTCATGGAAATGAAGGTGGGGGCTAGGGTGCAGCGCGCACCCCACGCATGTGGGACTGAATCGAGCAACTTCTGCTCTAGGCAGGTTTGGAGTTGCTGCAGGCTGGGGGCCACTGGCACCAAAAAATGCCACGTGTGGCTAAGCCACTGACAATGCTGGACACGGTAGGGAGGAGGGGCGAGCTGCCCACCCCCCCAGACCACCTACAGACCCCGCAGCTTCCCCAAGCTCTGCTTGCTTCCCTTCCACGAGGGCACTCCCTGCAGCAAAGCTCCCTCCTCCAGTGCCACCGAGGGGCTGACCCACCACCCCGATCATCTCCATAGACAGTGTTGGCACTGGCTTATGTCACCGTGGCTGTCACCCTCCCCTGGCTGTGGTGGGGGGCTCTGCCTGGCTGGAGAGGCCAAGCGCCCGTGGGCCAGCACCGGCCGATGTCATCACCCCTCTGAGAGGAATGTCCCCCCTCCATGTCACTCTGCAGGGTGCGGGTTTGGGTCCCCAAAAGGTGACATGGAAGCAGGGCACCCTCTGCCGGTGCCTGGGCACAGCACACGCCAGCCCACACACACGCTGCCCACCCACACGCTCCCACACCCACTCACGGTGGGGCCCCCGTGCGCTTGTGCACGCACACGTGTGTGCACCCCCGCTGCCTGTTGTGCACGTGCACACGCACGTAGGCACAACCCCCCCCCGTGGAAACGCTGCACACCTCCGTGTTTGCACACCCACACGTGGGTGCACGGGGCCGCGGGCGCACGTGGGTGGGTGTGCAGTCGAGCCCACGGTCGTGCACAGAGGCACGGGGTGAGTGCAAGGCTCGGTGGGACGCCTGGACCCACGCGTGGGCCGTGTGTGTGTGCACACATAAACACGCGGGGCGATGCTGTGTGCACGTGGGCAAACGGTGCCAGCGCCTGCCAAATTTCAGGGGATCAGAACTGGACCGGGATTTTATTTCTTGCGCTCATCAAGGCTTTCAGCTCTGCCACAGCTTCCCTGGGGGGACCTTGGTCATGTCACTTAACCCTTCGCATCCCCTCCTGCTTGGCCCTGGACAGGGACTGTGGTTGGGGTGACCACAGGCACACAGCTAGACACACACCTCCCAGATCCCCTCAGCTGGGGTCAGCCCCCCTACCATCGTGGGCACTGGGTGTGCACACACACCCCCCCCGTGTACCCCACAGCCCCAGTCCTTCACGACCCACAGTGTTTTGGGGTAATAAAAGTACCATTTGAGGGTGTTTACAACTTTTATTTTAAAATCCCTTTCCAAGATCATTTTCGGGGCTGTGAGCCAGGCTGGAAGCGCACGTGCGAGTCTCTTGCAGGTAGGGTGGGGAGTTAAAAAAACCCACAGCCAAAAAGTGGGGGCTGCCTTGGGCCCTGAAAACCGCCTTTGACCGCGCTGGCCCCCAAAGCCAGGAAGCCCAAGGGTCAGTGGGATCACCCATGTTTTGGGGAGCAGGGAGGCATTGAGCCAATGGGGTCCCCACTATGTCACCCCTGCACCCACAGGCGCTGGGGCAGCTACGTGGGTGCTCCCACCCCCTCTCCCCGCCAGACCCAGGACCCTGCAGACGCCGACGGGCTTGGAGTTGGCTAAAATGGAAACAGAAAAAAAAAAAAAAAAAAAAAAGAAAAAAGACAACCAAAAAAAGCCTGGGAAGCCATCCAAAACTGCTTAGTGTTAATTAATTCGTACCCGCGACGTGATCTACCCTCAGCCCCAGAACATCCTAACATAGTCACGGCCGCGGCCGCCCGCCCCAGCCCGGCTGCTGGCCACTGCCTTATTTTAGGGAGGAGACAGTGTGGCCGCCCTCCTGGCCCTTGAACGCAAATTGCTGTTTCCCACTGGGAAGGTTTCCAGTGGGTGCTGGGGGCTTTGGGACACGGGTGGTTTGAGGGTGGTCAGCCATCCCGGTGTGCTCAGCCCTGGCTATGGGGCTGCAGCCCTGGTTATGGGGCTCTGCTTGCCCTATGGCAGCCTGCCAGCTCCCCGAAAAACCACCCCAAAAACCCCGTGAGGGTTGGAGCAGCAGAGCGGTGGGGCTGCGCTGGAACACCCCATCACCCCTGGGAGGTGGGATGGGGTCCTGCTCACCCCTTTGCCACCCCACGAGGTGGGTTGAGGGCACAGATTTGCCGGCTCTGGCAGGCGTCCGGCACCGACACCTTCCTTGAGGGCAGAGCAGAGCGACCTCACCTCCCCATGTCCCACCACCACTGCTACCCCGAAATCCCCTTCCCCTGCTCATACACCCTGTTCCCCTGCGATGGAATGAGGGGGCCGGGCACAGCACCCCAGCTTGGCCCTCGCCACGGGGTGCGAAGCGGCTTTTTCTGCCTCTGCCTGCTCCTGCCCGGCTATTTTTATCCCTGGCAGGGGCTTTTATCCCTGGAGCCGCGGCCGCCAGCGGGTCTGGGGGGCGAGGGCTGGGGCCGTGCTGGGCAATCCAGGCACTGCTCAGGGTCTGGCTCTCTGCCATAAGGGAGCAAGAGGATGTCCTGGTGTCATGGGGGTTGGGGACATCGATGCCACCCTGCAGAGTTTGCTCCATAAATCCCCAGCTACTGGAGTCCCGGGATGGGGGAAAGTGAAACCAACCCCGAGCCTGGCTGTGGGAGAGGCAATCCCCCGTAAGCGGGAGCGGGACAGGCTCCGGGGACACCAGTTACTGATTTTGAGGACTGGGGTGGGAGGGAGGGAGGGGGAGGCAGGGGCGAGGGGAGCAGGCAGCGCCGTGACTCAGCCGGGGGTGGCAGCGGGTGAGGTGTTTTTGTTTAGTTTCTAACGTTACGGTTTCCACAGCACCGGGAAGCAGCCCCAGGGGGCCCAGCAGCACCGAGGGTGGGATGGGGCAGCAGCCGGACGGGAGAAGCCGCTCTGCTGCTAACGCCACAACAGCTAAAAATACTGTGGGCTATTGTCACCAGCAACAAAGCAGCGGGTGTATTTTTAGAATTATCTTCGCTGCCATCGGCTCCGCGGCCCTCCCGGGAAGCGCTGGTGCCCACTCCACCCAGGCACTGCCCTCTGGAGAGCCGGGCAGAGCCTCCCACCCGCCCCTGGGCGCAGCCCCTGCAGCCACTGTGCCTCAGTTTCCCTCCCGTGCGCTGTGTTATGGTGTCACCCCCCCATCCTGCTGCTGTCATCCGACTCTCTCCACCCCACAAATGGCCTTGAGCTGCCCCACGCGTCCCCTGCATGTCCACGGTGTCCTCTGCCCCTAATGAGTGCCTGGGGATTGTGGCTCACAGGGCAGCCGTCTCCACCCGGGCAGCTCCAGTCCAGCCCAGGCAGTGGGAAGGAGTGTGCAGAGACCCAATGCAATGAGTTGACCGAGTGTTACCAGGAGACTGGTGACGGTCCCTCCTCCCTGCCGGGGCACCAGCCCTCCTCCTCCTCTGCTTATTCCCGCAGGCAGAGCCAAGTGAGGCTGCAAAGCCACCCGGTCCAGCCCTGCTCAGCAGGGAGCTGTCATTGCTCGCCCCGGGTGAAACGAGTTGGCGCGGTCTCAGCGCAGTGGCCGGGCGGCCAGGGAGGCAGCAGGGAGGGCTGTGCCAGGCTGTGCGGGCTCTGCCAGCAGCTGGGCACAGCCCCAGTCCCAAAGCACCAGGATAACACTGGATTTGTGCAGATTTCCCCATCAAAACAGGGTGGGAGGGAGGTTCAACTTGCCTTTTCCCTGCCAGAGCAGCTCGGCTTTCCGTCCTTCCGGCGAGTCCTTCTTTGACATGGAGAGCAGATCGGGGAGCCTTGTCCTCAACAGCTCTGGGGCAGGAACGGGGTGGCAGCGATGACCCAGAGCTGGGCTCGGGAGGTGGGTGGCCGGAGACAGGTTGGATCCGCGGGTGGGCTGCGGCTGCCCGCGGGCGCTTTGCCGGGCAGGGGGCACAGCCAAAGCAAGCAGTGAGCCCGTCTGGTTGCACTTGGATTTCACAGCGCAGCCCTAATCTGGGGCTGCTGCAGCCCCGCGGTGATCCCTCCCCACCCAGCCGGCTGCATCCCCCATCGCCCGTGTAGGACGCTTGGCTCACAGCAGCACAGGGTAACTCACCCAAGGCCAAGCAGGAAGGACTGGTCACCCCTTCTCTCTGCTCCCCAAGTACCTGCTGCTCCCCCCCAGTCCTCAGGACAGTCCCAGTATGTCCCTTACTGCACACCAGGAAACCCTGCTGGTTTGCACAGAGCAGGGGTGGCTCTGCACCCCTCTCCCCTGCCCCGTGCTCCCTTGGCATCCCGCCCCACTCTCAGCTTGGGGTCCTGCTTGCTCCAACTGCAGAGCCCCAGGGAGAGCAGCCTCTCCCCGCAGCACAGATGGTCGGGGGGTGTGTGTGTGTCCCTATTGCACAGGGAAAGGGAAGTGAAACCTGCTTCAGAGGAACAGGGAGTCCCCCTTCCCCGGGGGGGGGGGGACACACACACAGATGGGACTGTGCCTCTACGGTTGGACTGAATGCTGCTGATGGGGTGGGGGGGTGGGGTGGGGGGTATCATCTACACAGCGGGGAGGGGCACCCTGCCAGCAGCACCCCTGGAAGCAGAGATGGAAGGGTGGGTGGAAGAAAGGGGTCTGGTAAGAGCAGAGCCGTGCACGTAGATGCTCTGGAGTGGAGACCGGGGATACAGGAGACAGCAACACCCAGGGAAGAAAAGGCGCGGGGGGGGGGGGGGGGGGGGGGGCACAGACCTCGCAGGAGCAGAGATTTGGGGCAAGTGAGGGAGGGTTGCTGCGAGAGGGGGGGATGAGCACGCATCCCCCACTGCAGAAAGGATTGGGGGGGGAGGAAGGGAGGAGGGGAAGGATCGGGGTCCTTCCCCAGCTGCAGTCCCGGTCCCCGTTCCCCCCGGCAGCGGGGCGGGGAGCACGCAGCCCCCCCGGCCGGGCCCCGCGGTGGCGGCCCGGGGGAGCGGGAGGCAGCGGCGCAGGGCGGGGAGGAGCGGAGAGCGGCGGCACCGAGACCGGCTCCGGCAGCCCCGGCACTGGCACCGCGGTGGGTCGGTACCCGGTGGGCTCCGGCGGCTCCGGTACCCCTGGGCGGCTCCGGTACCCCTGGGAGGCTCCGGTACCTCTGGGCGGCTCCGGTACCCCTGGGAGGCTCCGGTACCCCTGGGCGGCTCCGGTACCCCTGGGAGGCTCCGGTACCCCTGGGAGCTCCGGTACCCCTGGGCGGCTCCGGTACCTCTGGGCGGCTCCGGTACGCCTGGGCGGCTCCGGTACCCCTGGGAGGCTCCGGTGCCCCGGCGCAGGGCAGAGGCGAAAGAAGCAGCGGCCGCAGCCAGGCAAGCGGACGGGGGTGGCCGGGCCGGGGCTCAGCTCCCCTCTCCCCCGGCATCCCCCACCCGCGCCCCCACCGAGGGCAACGGGGCAACATCGGGGGAACTGGCGGGGGGGTTGAATCCCCGGGGGGGCAGGGGGTGCATGCAACCCCCTTGCCGGGTGGGGGCCGGATCCGGGATTTGTAAAGAACAAAGGACCGGGGGGGGGCGGATGGGGGGGGCGGTGTGTGTGTGGAAAAATACCGGCAGGAGGGGTGGGTGGTTCGGCTGCAAACCGGGCTGGGGGTGACAGTGTGTCGTGCAAGGGCTGGGGGCTATCAGGGCACCCTGCCCGCAGCATCCCCCCCGCCCCCGGTCTGGGGGGTCTGCTCGGATCTGGGGGCTCTGCAGGAGAGAAGGGTTGCGGCCATCTCGATGGGTGGGGGTGAGGGGACTTTGCCCGCCCCCCGCCCATAGCCATCCTACCGCAGTTTTAGAGTACAGGAGGGGCTGCAGGATTTGCACATGGATTAGGGGGTGCAGAATGCCCGGAGTGCAGCAGGGAGGGGTGAACGTGTGTGTTGGCATGGGGGGTGCCATGCACGGGCTTTGCGGCTCTGTACGAGGTGGGTTTAGGGGGGTTGTGCTTGTAAAGGAAGGTGGGGGGGGTGACAATGGGGAAAAAGGGTGGCTGGGAGGGCAGATGGGGGGCTTTGTGAGGCTGGCATCGCCCCCTCTCTGTACTGGCAGCAGACATGCCGCCTGTGCTTGCTCGCACAATCCGCCCGCCGCTCTGCCGGCCGGCTCTCCCGCTCTGCACCCCAGTGCCCTCGCCGTGAACCTGGAGATGGGGGGACTCGGGGGGGAGCAGGGGCTGTGCTGCGCAGGCACCGAGGCTGCGGAGGACCTGCATTAGGGCAGTGCTTCCCCTTACGTGATCTCGGCTGCGTGACCGAGTCTCGCAGAAGGAGATATTTATAGTGCTGCTCCACTAGCCCGAGGTTTGCACGGCCTGGAACGGGGCTGGCAGCTGCCGCCCCGCACACACCCCCCAACCCCCCAACCCCCCCCCCCCCCCGAGGCCTCTGGGTGCAGCTGAGCCGTTTCCCCCGTGGGGCCGGGGTGGGTGGGTGGGTGGGAGCCCGTGGTGTTAAATGGGTTGCATGCGAGGCGCTGGGGCTGGCTGCCAGACTACACGTCCCGGCGTGCTCTGCTGCCTGCGTGCTGGGTGCTGCAGAGGCCTCGCAGCGAGGGTGCAGGGAGCAGCTTTTTTCCTTTGGCCTGAATCAGGCCGGCTCTGGCAAAGGAGGATGGCATGGTGCAAGGATGAGGACAAGGGGAGAGGCCACGTTTTGGCTTTGCCGCGAGGGACAGATTGGCCAGAGCTATTGCAGCCTGCGGGAGAAGGTGAGAAGACAGGCTGGACTACATGTCTAGGAGTGTTTGCCGCATGCTTTTGTCACTGTGGCTCCAACCACCACGTGTCCCCAGGCCCCAGCAAAGGGAAATGGGAGGTCTGGGAACTGCCCTAAGTTGATCCATGCCACTCCACGCTCTGTGTCTGGAGCAGCCGTCTCTTGGGTCCTCCCAGAGCCACCAGCACATGGAGATGGCCAGAGCCAGAGCCATGCTTCCTCTTTGTGTCATGGTCCTACAGACTTGGTCCTCTCCTGACCAGACATCTGCTCTGCTGATGTCTCCAGGCTCTTCCCTCCCCTGGCACGATGCCCCACAGTATGTGGGGTTGCCCCTGTGCGTGCCCCAGCTCCTCTCCCCCCCCCCCCCCCCGATCCGCACGGTTTGCACGTGCCAGCCAGATGCCGTCACTCTGCTGCCATCCCCACCCTATCCCGGACTCTTTCTCCCTCCTTTTTAACCCCTCCACCCTAGAAATGGTGGCAGCAGACCGACGGATGTTTTCCACCCTCCTACCACACTCGCTGGGTGGGTGGTATCTGCGCGCCTTTGGGTGGGGGGGAGGAGTGGGGCAGGGCGAGGCGGGAGTGGGAGATCAGGGCAAGGGATAAAGCCAGGCCTATTTTTATCCTGCAAAGTAATTACCAGAGCTTTCCAATCCTTAATCTGCCGAGCACCCCGGTGCGATTGGATCCCTCCCCGAGCCTGGCAACAATTCTCCCATCACACGTCTCCTGCGTCAAAGCCCCATAAACTCCCACACTTGGGCTCACACTGGGATACATGTGCTGTGGAGCTGCTGGCACATCTGCCCCCCACCCCTAGCAGCCCCCAGCCCAGGAACAGGGATGGGGACTCCATTTGGGACCCTGGTTTGCAGCTGGAATGGGGGATCTAATGCCAAACCCGGCGGGGCAGGATGCAGCTGTGCAGCCCAGGCCAGCTTGCTCAACTGCTGTGGACATTTCTGTCCCTGCACCTTGGCAGGAGCTGGAGGGTAGATTTGGGTCCCGACCCTGTGAACACACTAAATCCATGTTTTCCCCTACCGCTGTCTCCCAGGGGTTTTTGGCTGAGGTGGTGGCCCACACAGCATCCTCCAGCACCCATCCAGCTCAGCTTCCCGCTGACACTGCCAGGGTCCGGGATGCCGCTCCCGGCAGCGTGTGGGGTGGCTCTGGACGGCAGTGCCAAGTCTCGGCTGGCACCTTTCCTGGCCTCTCCCCGTCCTGTCGCTGTGCCAGGGGCTTGCTGAAGAACCTGTTCCATAGCTCCCGCCGTGGAGGAGGAAATGACGGGCGGTATTTGTGGCAACACCTTTCATCCCAGGGCTGGGGGACTGCTTTGCCCCTGCCTGCCTGCAGCCGGCTCCCGGGTGGAGCACGGGAGCTCATCAGCGTGAGGATGGAGGCATGGGCTTGGGATGGCTCTCACCCTCCTCGACCCACCCCATAGCTGGTGCCTACCAGCTCCCCAGCATCTCGCCCCAAAGTCGGGCTGGGCTGTTCATCCCGGCTCCATGGCGGGGGGGGGGAGGGATTTTTACGCCACAATTCATCCACTCAGGACCCTGTGGAGTTCACAACACCCTTGCCAAATATTTGGGAGTATCCCTTGGTCCATCTCAGTGCACAGCAGCAGGCACAAAGTAAATTTGGCAGTGTACCAGACGCAGTGCCCCCAAAATGCTGCTGTTCCACAGCAGGACCCGATGTCTGGGATTGTGGAGAATGAGCCAGCATCCCCAGGTGACCCCATCAGTGTCCCTTCCCCCTGCCTGGCAGGGACCTGGCAGGCTGGGAAACCACCCTGGCTGCCACCCTGCCAGAGCTGATGGCCATAAAAGGCCCTGAAATGGAGGAGCTGGGCGGGGGGCCGGGCTGCTTCTCTAGCCGGAGCGGGATTGTCCTGTCTGCCCACGTGGGCCAGGCTTGCCAGGATGTGGGAATGGGGGTCTGGATGGGGGAGAACAGTCCCAGCAGCCCGGAGTGGGGTCGGGAGCTTGGGGCACACTGTGCTCCTGTCCATGTCCCCCTTCATCCTGGGGGAGTGTGTTTGGGCTGTGCCCCGAGACACCAGGGATCTGCATCGCCTCCCACGGCAGGCTTGAAGAGGGGATAAAGCTGCCTTTTCATCGGGCACCTGAGCTGTGGGGTGGCGGGGGCCGGGGGGGCCGGGGGGCATGCAGTGGGCTTCCCTGCTGGCCCCCCGCTGCCTCTCTGCAGACAATGGCTGCCCTTTGTTGGGGTTTTACGCACGCAGCCCCCTTCCCCGCGGCCCAGCTGGTGACATTTTACCACCTCCACATTCACATGGGGATTCAAAGGGCACAGATGCACCGTGAAACCACAAAGCACAGCCTCCCCCCCACCGCCGCTCCCCCTCCCAAGCGCCTCAGCATCCCCAGGGAGGCAGGGCTGGGATGCACGGCTGGGATGCACGCAGGGGGAACCTCCCTCTGGGGCTATTTCAAGGGCGACCTGCCAGCCCCTGGGGCTCCCTCCAACCTCCTGCCCTTCCCTGGCCATCAGCCCTCCATCCCTTTGTGACCTTGTCAAGGTCCTTCTCCCCCATCCCTGGCCCAAAGGTCAACACCAGGCATGGTGATGTCCCAACGCCAGACACCCACTGATGGGAGATAAAGGGAAGCAGTGTGGACACCATTGCCAGACTGGTGACTCTTGACCTTTTGGAGTTGGAGCCGTGTGGGTGGTACCCACCTCTGCCCCGCAGGCACCCGGCTGCCAGAGCAATGCCAGAGCAATGCCAGAGCAATGCCAGAGCAATGCCAGAGCAATGCCAGGCAGGTTGGCAGCACCAGCTCTCGCATCGCCCCGAGCTCCTGGGTGTAGCCAGTCTGTGAGTGTAGCTGGTCTGTGGGATACGCAGTGACCTCCATCCCTTTGGAGAGGTCCCAGCATTCAGGCATCCACCTCCTGCCCCTTCCCTCCCACTCCCAGACCTCCGGGGGCTTTCCCTCAAGTTACTGGGCCAGCAGCTCAGTTCCTCCCAACTGGTCATTGCCTCCACAGGGACCTTGGGAAAACAGCCTGTAAACAGACGGTTGGAGAGCGTGAGTCACAGCGACCGAGAGGGAAATAAATGCACGAGGGGAATTTGCAGCGTGCATTGGGTCATGGGGATGAATCCCAGCCTCTCCCAGTGAGCGGCTAGGATGTAGGTGTTCTGTGGAGCTGGCTGTCCTAGGCAGAGGTGGTTATTCCACTGAGAGGACTGTGTCCAGGCAAGCTGTAAAATGGACATCTAGCCCTCTCTCCACTAAAAGCATCCCCAGATCCATTCTGCTTTCGTCCCAAGGGATGAGCAGTCACCGCCCCGGAGGTGGCTGTGTCTCAGCGCGCAGCACCCTGCCCCTACAGCCGTGCAGATCTCTTCCCTGCTGAAAGTCACCCCGCCGGGGTTATTTTTGGCTGGCAGTGGGGCCGGAGGAGCTGGCTCTCTCCCAGCCGCTGCAGCGCACCCTGTTTGGGATTACATCTTGCGTGGTGGGTAGCGCCTGGGTGAACAGGCTGCCTCCAGCATCCCCTCTCCCTGCTGCCAAATACCTGCCAGCTCCTTCGCCTGCCCGTGTCTAAAGCAAGAGTGCTATCTAGTGGTTAATCCCACTGGGGACGCCAGTGATACTGGGGATTAATTTCTGCAAAGGCCTCCAGTGACACCAGTCGCCTCTATGAGGGTAGCTTTACCATCCCAGTTTGGGGACTGGTGAGAGAGGGTGAGAGGTTTATCCAGGGTCTGTAAAAGCTGCTTTTTTCCCTGGCCTCGCTTGAGGCTGGAGGGACATCCAGGGCTCGGAACCACAGGAGGGGGTGCGTGGGGCCTGGGAAGGTGTTGGCCAGGGGAGGGGGTGCCCACATTAGGGTGGGAGGAGGCTGCACCTTACAGGGGGTGAAGGGTGGCACGTGTTTGCTGGGAAGGGGTGTGGGGAGCAGGAAGCATCTTCACGGCAGATGGTTCATCCAGGACATGCTCCCACCCGCCCGCACCCTGAGGACCACCCAGCTTAAACCTTTCCGTGCTTCTCCTCCAAGGGCCACCATGTCCCCCACGGTGTGTCAAACCCACCCCCTGCCCCCCTCCCCAGCAGGGCGGGGGGAGCCGTGTCCGGGTTAGTGCCCTCTGCCCAGGTAAGGTCGGGGGGTTTTTGGGGTGGGGAGGGAGGATGCACTGCCCCTTTTTACCCCCCTCAAGCCCCTGTGAGGGCCGGCCGGGGCTCTTCTCCTTCTCCCACCCCCCTGCGGTTGGCTGCAGCGGGGCCCGGTGGCTGACGTCACTAAAATATGCTGATTTATGTGCGTTAACCCTTTTCCCGCGGGGCTCGGGGGCTCCTGGGGAGGCGGCGGCTGCGGGGGGGGATCCCGCCGCTGCCCCGGCCCCCCCCCCCCGCCCCCAATCTGGGGTCCCCCCGCGAACGGCCCCCGCCTCCCTCCCAGCCCCGTGGGTTGCCGTGGGAACCGGGTCGGGCTTCTGATGTCACTGGGACGGTTGCTACGCGACCGGTCCACTCGCCCGTCCCCGCGTGAGGTCACTGTCGCCATGGCGATGGGCCGGTGCGGCGGGAAGGGGGGGGGGGGGGGGGGATGCGGGGCCTCCCGGGGGGCGGGAGGGGCGGTCCCCCCCTCCCGGCACGGAGCGTGGGGACCGGCACAGCGCGGGGGTGTGGTGTGTCCTCCCACGGGAACAGCAAAAGCTTTGCCTTAAAACAGTGGGGAAAAAAAAAAAAAAAAAAGGAAAATAAAGCTTTTTTTTTTTTTTTTTTTGGCTCGTCCTGAGTTATTATTTTTAGAAATCCTGGTGGAAAAGCTGCCCACGTCGGGAACGTCCTCTCATTCCACGGGAAACGCACTTCCCCGTGGAAACGGGCAGCGGTGGCACTGGGCTCTGTGGAGCAGGGCACGGGTGGGCCGGGGCGGGCTGGGGGCGATGGGGCTCGCCAGGGTGGCGTCGGCCATGCACCGGTGCTAAAGCTGCAGCCCAATTTTCACTCTGGTCCCAGTCCCCGTAGCTGCTGGGGGGCCATGGGTTTTACATTTCCCCCAGCTTGGATTCCCGCTGGAGGCGATTTATTCCTAAGCCCTCACATCTGCTTCGTGGAAAGCGATGGAGCCGCTCCTTCCGAGGCACAAATCCCAGCTCCCCTCCTGCCACCGGCTCTGGGACCCCAGCCGGGCCAGCCAGGGTCACAGCCAGGTGGCTTCGCTCCGCTGGGCCACTGCAGGCAGCCCCGCTCGCTGCCCCTTTTCCCTGGGGACCTCTCCGCCGTGCCAACCCCGAAGCTGCCCGCTCCGGTGATCCCGCTGGCCACAAAGCCACAAGGATTAGCAGCTTCCTCCGACCAGGGATTTAGCCAAAGCTACTTAGTGAGAGCCACACGGCGCAGGCAGTGGCCAGCTTGCTTGTATGGAGGGAGATGGGGAAACCCAGGATATGTGCCCTGAGTCCTCCTAAGGATGCTGAGTGGGAAAGCAGTTGCCCGGGGTTAATAGCTCAGCATCTCTGGGTGAAACCGTGGGTTCAGCCAACCTGGGTGTCCTGCGGTATCTGCTTTCACTCCAGAGAGCCTCCGTGTTATTTCCAAAGCCTTGTAGAGACCTTTGAGCCAAATCGTGGTTCTGTGCAGGCAAGACGGAGGGATGGGGAAAGGGCAGACCTCGCTCACAGGGCGCTGCCAGTCGGGATGTAGAACAAGAGCTGGCAGATGGAGGCGGGCAGACGGAGGAGTGTGAGGGTGGGCTGAGACACTATTTTCTATGACGGGCTCTTGGCTCACTGCTGGTTAAACAGCTGCTGAGATTGTTGGGGCTGGGGGGCTCCTGAGGGAGGAAGGGGACGGGGATGAGGACAGGGAGCAGAATGGGGAGCTCAGGTGACTCCCCAGTGTGGGGGGCAGCTGGGGAGAGAGCAGGGAAGGGTTCATCTGCTAAAATCACGGAGGTGAGGGGTCTGGCTGGGGCTGTGGTTGGGGGATGGAGCAGGGGGTGGAGGGGGCTCGCAGCCCCATCTGGGACATGTGTCTGTCCTGCTGATGGCATGGGCAGCACTGCGTGCGTCGTTGCTGTGTTGGACCCACTGGACTGCTGCAGAAACCAAGGAAAACCCCCCGCTGAGCCTAAGCAAACTTTGCAGCAAGCAAAGCTGTGAGCAGCAGAAAGCCCCCACCCTGCTGAAGTACATGGGGAAAGGGGGAGATGCATCAGAGGTACCCTGAGCCCACTCTGGGCTCCCCAAAGTCCCATCTGGAGGCCCCACCCTCTACTAATGCATGTTGCCTTATGGGGAGAGGCTCAGGGGAAAATCTGGCTGCAGTGGGGGGAGAGGAAGGCCCCCATATCCCTTGGGAAGAGTTCAGCAGGTGGAGGAGTGAGGGGATCCTGGCCAGTAGCCACCAGCCTGGGGCATAGAGCTGTGCTGGGGATGAAGGAGAGCCTGGCTGCCCACTGAGAGGTTTGGGGTCTAATCCTGCTGGCACTGAGGATGCAGGATCAGCTGGGACCCTCTCATAGCCTATGGCTTAACCCAGATGGTTTGTAGGGATGCCATGGGCTCGGTCATCGTGCTCCTGAGCCCTCTGCAGTGGCCTCCAGCCTGGCCCCTTCTCCTTGCCCAGGCCATCGTGGGACAGGACAGGGTTGTCAAAGCCCCCACCTGCCAAACCTGGAGCAATGAATCGCAGTGGCTGCTGAGCAGCTCCCCTGTGCCCTGCCAGCTGCTCAAGCACAGGGCAGGATCAGTCCCTCTGGCCCCCGCTCCCTTCCATCCGCCTCCCTCCTTCCCAGGGGAGGGGGCTCTGCTTTGTCTGCTGGGGTGGGGAGGGGAAAGGCTCTGCCCCTGCTGCGGGTGGGGAGGGTGCCAGGCAGGGTGGCTCTGTGCACAAGGTGAGGTTTGCAGGGGGAGGTGACAGAAGATGGGACCAGGGGATGGAGCAGAGAAACAAGGACCAGCTTTTAGACAACTTCCTCGTGTTTTACAGACGGAGCAAAAGCGGGAGCATCCAAAGCTGGAGGGATGCTGAGAGGAGCTGCTGGCAGGGAGCTGCTGCACAGCCCTTACCCTAACCCCACCTCCACGAGTGGGGCACTGCCAAAAAAACATCGTCTCTCCCAGCTCCGTGGCCCCCGGGCAGGGTCCTGCCGTGCCACTCCGGCTGGGGACACCACTCCGGGTCTGGTGCCACCGTGTGGACACACGACACTTCCACAACCCCCCCCCGTCCCCGTCCCTGCGCTCGGCAGCCTTCCCCGGCTGGAGGGACCAGGCTTGGCAGCGCTGCTTTCCCAGCCTGTCCTGAGCACCGAGGGGGTTTATGTCCCCCTCCCACCATCCCACGTCCCACAAAACGTTGCCCACCGCCTGCCGTTCCCCCTCAGCCACCGGTGCTGCACCCTCCCTCCCCACGCCATCACACCCACTGCTGTACCCCACCTGCTTTGGCCTCCCCGAAACTGTGGTTGCGTTAAGGAGTCATGCTCCTGCTGATCTGGTGAGGAACATCCCCCCAAGTCCCCTGGGCAAGAGAAAGGGGGGCAACAGATGACCACAAGTGGCCAGACGTGGAAGTATGTGACGGGATTGGGGGCATGCTCCAGGCCCCCCACTTTTCCCAGGGTGTGACTATACCAGCATGTCCCCAGTGTGTCCCCATCACCGGCTGCACCCGTTTCCAGCCGTGGGGGGTATTGGCGCCCCGGTCCCTGGGGGCTGCGCGACACCCCCATCCCCCCCCCCCCCCCCCCCCCCGCCCCGGCGGTGCAGCGGGGATGCCGGCAAATGCCCGCCCTGCCCGGGACCCTCACACCGGCGGGGCCAGCTGGTGGCTAATGGTGGCCCATGGCTGTGGGACACGCCGGAGCTCCCACGTGTTTCCACCAGAGGGAGCCAAAATGCCATGAACCGCGGTCACGGCACGGTTACGGCCGCCCATCATTGCGGCGTCGGGGCGCCGGGCCACGCCACAGCCCCAAACGGGGACTGTCACCCCCTCCATGTGGCTTGCAAAGCCAACCTGTTAGGAAACCCCATTCCAGCCGCCACACACCGCGGGGAGAAAAAACAGCATGTCTATCCCTCCGTGGTCTGTCCGGGGGGGCTCGCAGCCCCTGTCCTGGGGGGCTGTACCCCACTGCCAGTGCTCCCCTCCAACCCCGCTGCTTGTGCAGTGAATTTGAAGCCGGTCGTGTCTGGAAGCAGTGACTGCAACAGCAAAGAAGGTGTTCCCCGCACCTTGGGGTGATCCCAAATCGCTCCTCTGACAGGTGGGTTCCTCCCAGTTCAATTCATCACCCAGCACCATGTCCAAACCCAGAGTGGGGATGAAGAAACTCTGCTCTGATCACTTTAGAGTGGACGTAATTAGTCCACTGTGTTAATATCCACTAAATTAAAGTCCACTAAATTAATGCAGACGTAAAGTACCAGAAAAGGAGGGTTTGAAACAATACTCCTGGTGCTCTTGGAATGGCAGCTCGTGGCATCGCACCAGAAGCTCTTTCCTGTTCACACCTCGCCACTCCCTGGGCTTGGGTAGCGTCCGACACATTACTGGTGGGAAAAAGGAGCAGGATGGAAATAACCTGCCAGCTGGGCACAGGAAGTGGGTGGAGGGAGAGTCGGAGAAGAAATATCACAGGCAGTGCTGCACGGTGGCGGAGGAAAATCTCTCCCATTTGCCCAGCATTTGCTCATTTATTTAAAGCCCATTATTAGTGGCTGCCACGTGGGATGGGATTCACACCAGTCCTGAGTGAATCAGGTGCCATGTTTTGGCTATGTATCTAATCCACCAAAGTCTTCTCCAAGTTCCTGATTTCCACTGAAATCTGCTGCTTTCTGCATTGGCCAGAAGGTCTGGGGGTCCCAGCCCCTCACCTGCACGAGGGAGATTTTGGGTACATCAGAGGCTGGGGCTGAGATCTGGGGGCTACCATGGTGCCAGAAAGAAGGAGAGAGGACGTGGGCCAGGGAAAATTATGGGATAAATGGGATCTTGGCCAAATCCAGGCAGGCGGCACCATGCTGCCACTCAGCACTGCTGCCAGAGCAGCCTGGCACGGCAGGGAAAGGAAATCCCAGCCAGCTCTGGCATTTAATCCTGTCTTCCCAGTAGAGCAGCTGGTAATGCCCAGCTCCTGGGGACCTGGGGGCATGGGAAGCAACCAGAGGCCAAGTAGCTTCTGGGAGGCCACCAAGCCTGACTGGGTAGCCCCATCCGAGAGCTGCAGGGCCAGTGGGAGGGAAACCCTTTGTGGGTTGAGTTTGTGTCCCAGACCCTTCCCACCAGTTCCAGAGATGCTGGAAGCAGGGTGTGCATACCCCAAGTGTTGTGGTGGGCCAGCTGGGATGGGGAAAGATGCCTGCCTGTCTGGGAAACACCTCAAGGAGGGAAAAGAGGAGAAAACGGGGATTTCCCTAGAATCACAGTGGCAGGTGGGGGCACAGAGGGAAACTGAGACATGGGAGAGTGGACTGGTGGGATGGGGTGAGACAGGGCAGTTGAAACGTGTGGATGTCCCCAACGGTCTCCTCTAGAGCTGCTGGTGAGGGTGGCATTAGGCTGCTGGCTGACAAGTAGAGGGTTAATTCAGCCCATCCCTTCACCCAGGTGCTGCCCAGCCCAGCCCAGCTGGCCCAGGGCTATAAAGGGGCTGAGGGTGGGTGGGCTGGTTCCTTGGGTGGGCTGGGGAGAGGCTGTAGGAAGGGCTAATAGGGCGGGAGGGGATCCTGCTGCCTCCAGGCTTGGAACTGGGGTAGCAGCATGTCTGGGCAGAAGTGTGGGTGTGTGCAGTCACCCCACAGCCTGTTCCCTGGTTTGGGGTGCATGTTGTACTGGACAGTACTGGGAGTTTTCCTGTGGTGCGGCTGTGCCAGCCTGACAGCTTTCACCCACCAACCGACTGCCATCCTGCTGGAGTGGGGAACTGGACCAACTGGATCAGCTCCACTTGTGAGGTGTGGGTTTGGGGTTATCCTCAGTGCTTGCAGGTGGGATGTTTAATTATTCATTCTGTTTTTGTTTTTTTTTTTTTTTTTTCTGAGTGTGGAATTCAGGTTGAGAGTCTCTCATCTCTATCCCTCCACTCACAGAGAATTATCATGCTTAATCTTCTTCCATCCCCTGGGTGTACCCGAGGTCTCAGCTAATGGCAGGGTGACTTTGGTGTCTTGCTGTAGTCTCCCAGGGTATCATATGGACCCATTGCCCCACACGTGTCCACTTAACCTGCTAGTGCCCATGTCCCCACCTCTGGCTTCAGTCCATCAGAATACATGTTACACCGTAATTAAGCTGATGTGACTTCACCCTGTGGTTTCTCATTTAGCCCCTCCTGTGCCACACTGAGTGGGTGGATTCGACAGCATCCCCAGGTATGGCTACTGTGTTTTATGGTGATGGTAGACAGAGGTTGGATCTTCTCCCTGTGTCCCACCCTGTATGAATGTGGCCAAAGAGGGGCTGGTGAGGGCTGCAGGGAGGAGGGGGTGGGTGGTGGGGTTGTGACACTGGGCTAAAGGAGGTGTGTTACAGCACTGATGAGCAAGCCGTGGAAGGCAGCATTGGCAGTATTTCTCTTATATGTGCTTCTTGTCCATCATGTCATGATATAGCTGATCCATTCCAGAGCAGAAATCAGATTTCCTGGATGCTTCAGTCTCCCTGGCCTCCCCAATGGACCCTTATCCCTGAACCAAGCATCATGCCCAAAGGAGACAGTAAGCTTATGCAAAGAGCTGGGAGCTTGCCCTGGAGTTCTCCTTGTATCTGGCTCCAGTTTGCTGGCAGCAACACACTACAAGTTTCTGGAGGGGCTGGATCTGTTGTCCTCATCCTCCTCAGTGGAGCCCAAGCATCCTCTGCTCTCTAGCAGGCAGCGCTGCTGGCAGCTGCCTTACAAATTGAGGTGCCGTTTGCTGCCTGTGCTCAGAGATGAACCCTGCCAGCTCCCCCAATTTGCTAGATTTCTTCTTCTCAGCAGGCAGAACTATTTCAGGCTGTTTGCTCAGATTTGTGAGGTTTTTTCCTCCTGGTGCTCAGGCTACTTCCATTCATGCTAAAGTTGCTGCATTGGCATTCCTGAGAGCTCATGGTGTGCCTTGAGTTTTGATTCGCTCTAGCTGAAGCATAAACTTTTCACTGGAAAAAAATGAAAGTATGTGCATGTGTCCCACTTTTAAGTTGTTCTGCATCCAAAAGATGAATTCAAGCCTGGAAAAGTCAGGCCCTGAAGTTTATCAGTGCCTGGAAAGTAAGGCTTAGAGTAAAAACTTGTCCCAGGACCTGGAACAGAGCGTGGTACTTCTTGCATAGAGAAGATGGAGAGCATCCTTTTCCCATGCCTGGCAGTTGGGCTCTGTGGCCATGTGAAAAGGGCTTTGAATGAGGCATGTGGGACAGGCAGGTCTGTAGGGAGGATGGGCAGCACCTTTGGCTGCCAGTCAGGTACGCTGAGCCCAGCTCTGCCAGGAGATTCCCCACTTACCATCAGCGCCAGGGTCCATACAGGGTTGAAATACCATGTCTGGGGTTGCCCTGACATTTCAGGTGACAGGGTAGCCATCAGGTCGCTGTGACACTCTCCAAAGCCTTCTCACTTCTCCTACCTGCCCCATGCAACTTTTCCTGTAGCCTGGGAGAAGATGCTGCAGATGTGGGGAGGGCTCCCTGTTCTTCTTCCCAAAGCAGCCACCCTCTTACCCCAGACCTTTTTCCTCCCAGTGAACCAGTAAAGGTACCAGCAACCAGTGTAAGATACTCCTACCCTCCCCAGTTGCCAGTTGTCATGCTGCAAAGGCATGAAGCAATAAGGAAAACTGTGGTGCCACTAATGTGATGATTAAATCAGTGTCTGGAGATAACACCATGAAGAAGACAACACTTGCAGCAGACCCTGTCTCTGCTACCCCCATGGCCCTGTCCCTCAGCCCTAGGACACGCTCATTTGCAAATTACTTCAGGGACAAACCATGCAGACCCTGTGAGCTTACCTCTTTCTAGTCTACATCTCTATTTGCTGCCATGTTTGTTTCACTGGGATGTTTTTGTAGCTTGTTGGGTTTTTTGTGGCTGGAGATTTTGATCTTGACTCGGAGAGCGAGTCCCTGTGTGGTGTGGGATCCCATCACAGAGATGTTATTTCCTCGCCTGGTATTCTTTGCAAATGAGTGGCCATTTTCCCTTCCAGCTGAGAGTCGTTTTTCCAGTCCCGTTTAAAGGCTTATGAATTGGGTGCTGAAAGTCCTGCATAGGCAGGGAATTAATATCTACCATGAGCTGGGTGGGAGAAGTAAGAAAATCCCTGGCATTCAATCCTATGACACCAAGCAGGCACCTTAAATCAACCTGCACACGCAAAGTGGCTCTGAAACAAAGGTAGGGGAGAGAGGCTGTCCCTGTGCAGCTCCATGTAGTTATCTATTTTTGATAACTCACACAGGAGGAGGTTTGGAAATTAATAAATAGAGCCCCAAAAGTGATTTCTTGCTGCTTGGGAAGATGCCCTGGATTCATGATCCATTTAAATGTGCTTCAGAGAAAGTCTTACTGTAGCTGAGGTGATCCCAAGCTCATTAGGGGTTGGCTGGGATATTTTCAGATGGTGTCCCTTGGTTTAGCTGTATTGCTGAGCAAAGGCAGAGCTGGTTTGGCCAGGCGCTGGGTCCCTCCTGCCCACCGAGTGTGCTGCAGTCTTTGCCATGGAGCAGATTTCAGCCAGAATGAGGAATTTCCATCATGGCTTGTTTGCTGCCCCTTGGGCCCTCAGAGCACTCTGCTGCAGCCCTGTTATGGGCTGCCTTTCATCCTCCCCAAGCTGGGATTTTCCAGTTTAAGGAAAACACAGAGGTAGCTGTGCCCTGAGCACGGGGCTGGGGGCTGCACCCCTCCTCTCCAGGTACAAAATGCCATCTCCATTGCTGGTTGCTCTGCCACGTCTGCCAACCCTGTGTGGAGACACGGGGAAGTGTCAGACAGGAGCCAAAGGAGGTGGTGAGGGGGAGGCAGGAAAACTGCATGTTATTAGCAAAGCCCTGGCCGACAGACGCATCTGCAGCTTGGGGAGAAATAACCTGATGCTTTTTTGATGTTCAGTGATTCATCCTGGCCTTGGTAGAATAACATAGTCTCCAGCCTCATGCTAGATGGGGGATGAAGCATTGGGACTGTGTGGCTTCTGATTGGGATGCCCCGGCTGCAGCCAGCCTTCATCCTGCTCCATCACTGCAGGGGGCACAGCTGAGACCGCACCCCTGGGCAACTCGTCCTGATGGGAACCTGCAGAAGTCCAGTGCTCCTGCCAGGTGAAAAAGTGCTTTTTGTCTGTGTGGGTCCTGATTAGCAAAATTGTGGTTGCCATGGAACCCAAATACCTGATTGGAGAGTGCCTGCCTTCCTGGTCCCCCCAGCAGACCTGGGGGACACTTGTCATGGGGCAGAGGCCAATTTTGCTGCTCCTTAGAAAGCTGATTGCTTTTATCCCAGTGAGCATTGAAATGGTCCTTTTTTTTTTTTTTTTTCTTTTTTCTTTTTTTTTTTTTCCCTCCTTTGAGCCCAGTTTGGGATGGAGTGGAAATGCCCCTCCCCAGCAATTTTTCAGATGAGCTGTGGGACTTTAGTTGCAGTGGTTACTGCTGGGAGGAGGCTCGTGGGGTGACTGCTATGAGCAGCAGCCCAGCCCCCTGTTCCCATCTCTAGAAGAAGAGCATCCTGGGGTACCAGCCCTGCATCCCACAGGAATGGGGTTAGCTGTCCCAGGAGAGTGAGGGCAAGGGTGCTGGCAAGTTATGGGCATCTCAGAAAAGGGGACTTGGAAATCTATAAAGAGCTGCCACTAGTGGGAGAGGTTAAGTTGCCTGCTTTGACTGCACAAGAGGGGAGAGGGAGGTAGTGATGCTGAGATGAGATTCTGGGAGCGGGAACAACTTTTGCATGGAGGTAAAAGGCCTCTAGAAAGCTAGTGACTGGAAATGCACAGAGTGGTGATGGTCAAAAAATTACTAGAGGAGGGTGTCCCACACCAGACAAGGATGTGTGGGTGGGTTCTGCTGGGTAAATGACAGCAGCACTGCTTTGGAAAGGCCACCCCACTGACCTGCATTCACCCCTAGCTACCTTACTGCAAAATTGCCCAGGTCCAGCATTCTGTTTGGTGTCCTGCAGGTCTGAGTGGCCATTCTTGGCTTTGAGCACCAAAATGAGCACTCTCCTGCTCTGAAATGTACCTTCTGGACACATCACCTTCAGGTGACCAGAGAGAGTCACCTTTGAATAGGCAGCTCCCAGGGGGGAGAGAAACCCCTCTTACATCCCCATGGCCAATAGATTTGCTTGTTCTCCAAGGGGAAATGGTTTATTTCTGTCCTAGAGCTTTATAAACCCATTCTGTCTGTGCTGGCTATCCCTGCGTGGGCAGATTTGCTGCAGCCATATCCTGTGGAGGGGCTGCTCATCCCCTTGTTTCAGTGGCAGTGAGGGATGCACCCCGGGGGCTCTTGCCTGCTGCATGATGGCATGGAGGGGACAAGTGTCTGTCTGTGCCTCAGTTTCCCTCTCAGGTGCAGTGTCACTATGTGGCTTGGTGGCTTTTTGTGCTCAGGACCAGAGGGTGTTAATTAAAACTGCAAAGCAGGGGAAGAGAGGGGGAGATGGAGCACAGACAGCTCTGTAAAAAAGGCTGCGCTGGTCTGCCCTGCAATTATTGTGAGTGATGTACCCTTGAGAAGAGCCGGGAGTGGATGCTGTTGATTATTAGGGCTGCAGCTCTCAAGGTTCAAAGCCACTGTTTATCCTCTCTTTTGGCCTCTTAATTCTCCTGGTGATGCTGCAGAGCCGGCCTCGTTCAACCTCTGTGTGCTGGCCTTAACCTGCATGTGGAGGGACCCGGCCAGGAGGAAGACTTGGGGGGAGGAAGATCAAGGAGATCCCTTGGGCTGGGGTTATGTAGGGAGCCTTGTGGGTGCCCCTGGCTTGCCAACTTGCTGCTGAAGTTTCCTGCCCAGCCCAGTGATGCTCTGGTCATGGAAACAGCCAGGCTGTGGCCAACATGTTGCAGTGAGGAGAGGATTTTGGTGTGCTGCTGGACATGTTGTCTCCCCCCAGCAGCGTTAATATAATAAAGTGCCTGAAAAGGGAAATAGGCTGAAGGGTCATGCTCCCGTGTGCAGTTTACCCTCTTTAAGCAGTGGGGGAGCGATAGTAGAAAGGGGTTGCTGCCATCTGAGTATTTGATTTATCAGAAAATTGAAAACCAGAATGGATCAGTCTGAAGCTCTGTCAGGCCTGTGAGGACTTGAGGTGTGGGGAGGGGGGGTAGCAAGAAACAGAGATGCCGAGGAAAAGAAGTGATGTCTGTGAGAGCCACCAACCCTTCCCAGAGAGATATGACAGCAGATAGGGTGGGAGCAGCTGTTGAGGCCTCAGTTATGGGGGATGTGCCAGCATGTTAATGGGAATGGTGGAGGAAAAGGGGAAGCAAAGGGAGAAGGACCCCTGGTCCAGTGGTTCTGGTGTCCCAGCAAAACTGGGACTGGGAAATCTGGACAATGGGTGAGTGCAACAGAGATCTGTTGCCACCTGGAAGCCAGGATCTGGCAACTTGAGGGTGACAGATGAACCCATGGTTCAGCTCTGAGTGAATGGAGTTCTGTCTGGTCCTTGCTCCTCCCAGACCATCCTTACCCACATGCCTGTTGCCTTCAGCTAGGGAAGGGGACTGCAGGGAAACAGATGTTGAAGTTTGGTAAGAGCTCAGCAGCATCTCCATTGTTCTGCTCCAACCCAAGCAACCTCCAAGTGCCCCAGTCCCAGTAGACATCCCCTCATTCCCATGGGGGTCTCTGCAGGGACCAAGGGTGCGGGTGCAGAGCTCCAGGGACTGCCCTGCAGCAAAGCCCAGGCAGGGGCGAGGACTGGGACAGGGACAGGAGGCATTGTGGCTGCATGCAGGGAACAGCCTCTGCCCCAAGGATGGGGGAGATGGCCGTGCTGCAGTGCGCAGAGCCCGGGGAGCTGCTGGGAGCCGGCTGCGTGTGTGTGTGTGCACGCTCAGCAGGGCGACCAGAAAACGGGGAGAGGCAGATGGGGGATGGAAAGGAGAGAGAAAGGATGAAGAACGAGAGATTTCCAGGGATGCTTCATCCCCTGATGCAATCCCTCAAGTGTGTTTGTGCTCAGGCTCCTGGTGCCTCCAGTGGTAGAGCACAACCTGCCTCTGCACCAGGATGGATCAAATCTGTCTCCCACCTCGGGTATCCCCTGGGGAAAAAGCAGCCTGTGCACAGTCTGGAGGCAGGGACAGAAATCTGTGCCCATCAGCTACTGTTTCTGGCTCTGCCACCCAGGGACTGTGGCCTGCGGTGTGCCAGCTCCCTGGCACTGTCACCCACCCTGGCATCTGTCAAGCCCCTGCTGGCATCACCTGGCTGCTGTCCCTGTGTCCTGTCCCTGCTGTCACCAACCCTGTGACATAAACCCCTGGGTTTTAGCTTGTCTCCGTTCCCAGAGGGGATGAGGTTTCTTCGCCTTCACTCCTGTAGGAGTAGACAGCATCTCTTCTCCCTCCCAGTTTCAGACACTATTTCCAACTTGGTTTTTTCCCTTGCGTAATGTCTTGTTTACATCCATTTACCCTCCAGCCTTTTGGCTTCAGTAGTTCCTCTCCTGTGCTGTGGGAGATGATTTCCGTAGGAAAATCATGTCTCAGGGCAGCCCTGAACCCTTTCTGCCCTCTGCATGGTTGTTCCACCACCTCCCCTCTGTTTGCAGCCTGTTTGCTGTTGGGAGCACAGGCAAGGCAAGCTTAAGGCTAGTCCAGAGCTTCACTGGTCTTGTCCTATTGCCCCTCGCCTGCTCTGAAATTCCTCTGAGCAAAAGCATTGAGCTCTGCTACAGACCCAGACACATGGCCCTTCGGGGCTGGCACTGGCATGCAGTGCCACAGCGATGGCTCTGTGGGCATCCCCGTGGCCTTTCTTCCCCCCGTCATCATCACCCAACAGGGACAGAGCTGGGCACAGATCCATCACTCCAGCACCACAGGCCAAGGAGGCCGTGGGCTGGTTTTGCCTTTGCTGCCAGCTTGTGCAGAGGGACAGGGTACACAGAGGCCAGGCCAGGCACTCTCAAGGCTTTTAGGATCTTTGTGTCTTGTTAAACTGGGGAGGAAAAATTCCTCCAGGGCTTTGGGGGATCTCTTGGGCTGGTCTGAGCACACTGTCCCCACCTGTTATCCCCCTTCTTTCCCCTGGACACTGTCTCCTGCCATTCTCATTTGACTTTATTTCACTGGCTGGCAGGGAAATGGGGTGTCACATCACCCTCAGAGTGCATTCAGCACCCTGCAGCCCAAGGGTGCTCTGGAGCACCGTGCGTGCCATGGTGTGGGATCCTCATGGGTGGCTCCTGAGCAGGGGCTGCGCTGGGTGCTCTGCCCCAGTGACAGGCTGTGTCCAGTGGCCCTGGGGACATCTGCACCAACCTGCATGCTGCCAACCATCCCTGGGTGCAACCAGGCTCCGTTTGCTTCCCTGCACGACAGTGGCGAGGTGGAGCGCTCCCACGGGCACCGGGCTTCCTGGGAAGGAGAGCAGAGATAGGAACGCCGTGCCTCAGTTTCCCTCTTGGGCTGTAGGGCAGGAAGCCAGGGCGAGACGTTCTGCTCCCAATCGCTGTGCGCTCTGGCATCAGGAGCGGGATTTGGGGGTGCAGGACCCCGGGGGCAGTGTCCTGGTGCTGGCACAGGCTGGACGGAGGAGGGTCCCCGGGGTGCTGGAGCCCTTCAAGGTGTTATCCTTTTGGGTGGGGGGGACCGGGTCCCCCTGGGCCCTGCCCCCTCGGAGGGGATGAAGGGAACCACGCGTGTACCTGCGCCCACGGGTGCCTGCGCGTCCCGCGGGCTGGCAGTGCCCTCTGCTGTCGCACGGAGCCGCGGAGCGATGCGCAGCTGCCTCCCTCCTTACTCCGACACTTTCCCCCCCCCCCCTTACCGTGCCCTTCCCACCGCCGCCTCCTCCCCACCTCCGGGGGGCCGGGGCGGGCTGGGGAGCCCCCGCCCCGCTCCGCAGCCGGCAGCCCTTCTTCTCCACAGACGGAGCGGGCGGCGGAGCCCGGGGGGGGGCCGGGAGCGGCCGCCCACGGGATGCGGGCTCCGGGGCGGGAGTGGGCGTCCGTGGGCTCCGCCGGGTCCAGGCTGGGCTCGGACCGGTAAAGCACGTGTTGGAGGAGAGGAGAGCCGCGGGTGGAGCGGGGACACGGAGCGTGAGTGTGTGTGCGTTCATGTATTTGTGTGTGTGCGTGGGGCTGCGGAGCAGGAGTGTTGCGCTGTGAGTGGGGGGGGGGTTATCAGCTGGTCGGGGTGTGAGCGCAGAGGACAGGCAGGAGTGCAGACAGACAGACAGACACTGGGTGCAGGGAGAGGGGGGGATGCTGCAAACACAGCAACTTCCTTGCAACCGAAGTGTGATGGGAGCCGGCTGGAGCCACCTGCTCCACGGGGGAGTGATTCGGGTGATCCAGAGGTTGCACATCTGGAAGCGGGGAGACCCCAGGAAGCTGCATCTGCATCTCCCCCCCCCAGGATGAGCCCGGACAACCGGGCGCTGCCCGGGCCCCCACGCCTGGCAGAGTCAGAACGGCAGCGGGGCTGATCGGTGCCTTGCCACGGGGGCCACGCAGATGGCAAATCCCTGCTGCTGGTGGGGCTGGAGATGGCCGTGCCGCCCTCCCCGGAACTCTCTTAGAGTCAATGGAATTTATTACTTTAACGTTATTTCCTCTCTCTTTCTGAAGAACATCTTTTTGGCAGTGCTGCTTTACAAACAAGGAGCCAGCCCCCGGCAGAAGTTGGGTCTCAGCACCGAGCTTTGCTTGCCCAGCAGTGGGAGAGAAGCCCTCGGCACCCCCCAGCTCACCCGCCAGCCTCTCTGCTGACAGAGGATAAGGGGGAGAAGGTGGATAAGGGCAGGAAGCTTCTCTGAGATCCAAAGGAAGAGCAGCAGGAGGATTTTATTAACCTGCCTCTTAAGGCAGTGAAGTCTCCATCCCCTCCCAACCCCATCCAGGACAGGGGTGGTGAGACCTATTCCTGCATCTGGAGCTTTCCAACAAGCTGTAAGACCTTCTTGGGTTGGAAAATCAATTTTCCCTCTGGCTGTTTTATGGTCGTCCCGTCAGGCCCTCTGCATGGCCGATAGAGTTGGAGCCAGGATCAGTTCTGGGAGTTGGCTTTGGGGCTGTATCCTGCTCTGCTTCAGAGGCAGATAGAGGGGACAGCCCTGCTGACCTCCCCCCAGTGACAGGGTAAAGGGACCAAGGTGGGCTGGGGACCTGATAGAGTTGTTTGTGGATGGGAACTGGGGCAAGGAGCTCTTGGGAACCCTGGAGTGAGTTTGAGGGAAGATTTGGGGTGGTTTCCTAAAGGAAAATCTGTGGCTGGGGCAGGATGTGTGCAAGGGTGAAGAGCTATGGTCATCAGCAGCATCCTGACACCAATGGGGAAAGGGGCAGAGAGAACAGGGGGAACAGAAGGGTTGGGAAAGCATCCTGAAAACCTCCCCGTCTCTCTGCAGCCATGAATCCCTACATCAACTGCTCCAGCCCCAGGTTCCCCCTGCCCCAGGAAGACTTTCCCGTGGAGCCCATCAGCCCTGATTTCTGCAACAGGACTCACTCAGAGACCTTGTTTGACCTCAAGGATGCCAACCTGACAGAGGAACAGCTGCGGGATAAGTACCTGGGACCTCGACGGTCCAGCTTCTTTGTCCCTGTCTGTGTCATCTACCTGTTGATCTTTGTGGTGGGAGCCGTGGGCAACACGCTCACATGCATCGTCATCCTCCGGCACCGGTTCATGAGGACACCCACCAACTACTACCTGTTCAGCCTGGCCGTGTCCGACCTGCTGGTGCTGCTGCTGGGGATGCCGCTGGAGCTGTACGACATGTGGAGCAACTACCCCTTCCTGCTGGGCGCCAGCGGCTGCTATTTCAAGACGTTGCTCTTTGAGGCCGTCTGCTTCGCCTCCATCCTCAACGTCACGGCGCTGAGCGTGGAGCGCTACATTGCCGTGGTGCACCCACTCAAGGCCAAGTACGTAGTGACCAGGAACCATGCCAAGAGGGTCATCGTCACCATCTGGATCTTGTCGGTTATCTGCTCCATCCCCAACACCAGCCTCCATGGGCTGCAGCCTCTCTACGTGCCTGGCCGGGGGAGGGTGCCCAATTCGGAGATCTGCACCCTGGTGAAGCCACGCTTGACCTACAACCTCGTCATCCAGATTACCACCATCATCTTCTTCTTCCTGCCCATGGGGACCATCAGCGTCCTCTACTTGCTTATTGGCCTGCAGCTCAAGAAAGAAAAGATGCTGGAGGCCTTGGGAGCCAAGTCTGGCAGCGGCCACGACTGTCGCAACTCTCGCGGGCAGAAGAAAGTCAAGAGGAGGCAGGTCACGAAGATGCTGTGTGAGTCTGATGCTGGGGCTGGGCAGAGCCAGGAGGTATCTCCCACGGCTGTGTTGGGAGGGTGCTGGGGGGGGAAACTGAGGCACGGCCAGTCCAGAGCACCGAGGCTGGGTCATCCCAGAGGAAGGCTGCAGGGTGACGGGGCAAAGGCCACTCTGGTGGCTCTGGTCCAGCAGTGGGGATTGCTTGTGCCAGCTTTTCCCAGCCATGAGAGCTCCCCCTCCTCCAGGAAAGTCCTGGGTGAGAAAGGCAAAGGAGGTAGCTTGGGATAGGGAAACCTGCTCCCCATTCCCCAGCCCAAACCTCGCATGCTGGTGGTGGCAGTGGGATTTCCCAGACAGGGACAATTCCTACCCAGCCCTGCAGCTGCTGCGACTGTCCCGGGGCAGTGGTACACTGACCCAAGGCTGGACTGGAGCATCTCTCTGACCCACTGCTCTGTGTCCTTGCTCCCCAGCCCCATCCCCGCAGCCTTTGGCCCCCTTCCTGGCAGCGGGAGCTGGCTGCTCTTGGGTAGCCGTCTCTCCCCAGCGCGCTGACCTCCGTGTGCTCCCAGCCCCGTGACAGCGATGGCGGGTTGCCCAGCCCAGTCCATCAGCGGGGCCAGGGCTGATTCTTCACCACGTCCCAGACAAGTGGGAACTCCACTTCCCCCGGCACTGTGGCTGGGAGGGGAACAAAGAGGGACCTGTCCCCGTGTGCTGCAGAGATGCAGTGTGGCACAGGTGTGGCAGGGCAGGGGACCCCAGGGCCACCTATACATCACCCCCTTTCCTTTCCATCAGCAGTGCTGGGTTATAAAAAAAAAAAAAAAAAAAAAAAAAAAAAAAAAAAAAAGGAGAAGGAGCAAATAGCTCTTGCTCCTTGGACTTTGCCAGCGGAGGTGGCAGGGTGCCCAGAGGCTGGATGCCCACAGGGGTGTCCCCCAGCCGTGCTGCATGGCCCTGGGTCTGTGGCAAGGCCAGCTGATGGCTGACAGGAGCGGAGAAGTGTGGTGCAGCAGCACCTGGAGCAGCCCTGGCAGGAGATGGAGGAAGAGAGATCTTGTCCAGACCTCCAGCCCCTCCACGGCAAGTCAAAAAGGCACTGGGGGGCCCCTTCCCCTCTCCCCCTTCCTCTCTCCTGTGCTTTTTTTGGGTGTTCTTTGCTATATCTAAAGCCAAAATGGGGCAGCACTCGGGTTAGGGACTGGAGGTCTCCAAGTAGGTTAGCCCTGTCCCCCCAATAACACCAGCTCTTCGGCTCCCCACAGTTGTGCTAGTGGTGGTGTTCGGGATCTGCTGGGCCCCCTTCCACACCGACCGCCTTGTCTGGAGCTTCGTCTCCACCTGGACCAGCCACATGCTCCACATGTTCCAGTACATCCACATCATCTCGGGCGTCTTCTTCTACCTGAGCTCGGCGGTCAACCCCATCCTGTACAACCTGATGTCCACCCGCTTCCGGGAGATGTTCAAGGAGGTGATGTGCCACCGTGGCCACCACCTGCCACGGTCACGGAAATACTCACCCAGCATCACCCACACCACCACCCGCAGCACCGAGTGCGAGCCCATGCCTGGTGCCAACGGGCTGCCCCTCTCCGATGCCGAGTACGAGCTGGAGGAGGTGGAGGGGGGCCAGGCCACCACCCACGCAATGTCCTTCTGCTGAAGAGTGGGAGGACACAGCGGGACTGGGACCAGCTTTCCCCACCACCAGCATCCATCTGACTGTGGCACCCATCCCGTGGTGGGGAGAGGGACAGGAGAGATGGAGGAGTCCCCACCTCTCTGCCGTCCCGCTGGGATGTGAAGGCTGGTTTTCTCGGCAGCGCTACTCTGGGGACGTGGCGGCGGTGGCCATGCTGTGCCCTGGATGTGTTGCACCCACTGCGCTCAGCACTGGGGCTGGCCAAGGCCAGGGCATCCCTCGTGGTGTGGAGACAGCTGACTTCTATGGCAGGGATATGCTAGCAATCCCCAAAAACATCCCATCCCTCCCAGCCCAGCGGCATGAGCCCACGGGTGTCAGGCACCCTGGGCTGTTTAGAGACACCGTGCTGGATGGGTGCCCAGAGAGGTGCTCACACCTGGGCTGAGACCCACGGGGACAGAGAGGTTTGAACAGCATGGAGTGAGAAGAAAAAGGTCTGTGGGTGCCTTCTCCCTTGAGATGTCCCCAGGGCCCTCTGGCACTGATGTGCCCCTGCTTTCCTTGCACATCCCTTCAGTAGTGCCAGCCGGTGTCTGGCCGTATGGTGCCAATATGGATCCTTGATCCCACCCCAGTCCCCCAGCAAGGGAAGGAACACGGCTGCTCCCTCCAGAGCTGGAGCCTGCAGGGGGGAAATACAGGACAACGGGAGCCCCAGCCTCCCTGCAGCACTGGGGCACAGCTCCGCACCTTCCCCCTGCCCCACAAATGTGCCCCGATCTCCCCACCTCCAATGTGCTGCTGGTGGGTGCTACCCTCCTCTTCCTCAGCTTGCGTGGAACCCTGCACCCCGGGGAATGTGGGGAGCCCTCCTCCATCCCTGCCCTGCATGGGCTGAGCCTCACTGAGAATTAAAAAGAGTCGTTGGCCTGATTTGTGCCCTTGTTGTGCCCCCCAGGACCCAGCTCTGCTCCCAACACAGGACTGGACTTGGGCCGTCCTCCTGGGGGGTGACAGGTAGCCCATGTGCCAGGGTGATGGGCGCCAGGGGTGTCCCACCAGCTCTACCTGTGGGCTCTGCTGCTGCGGCAGCTCTGCGGGACCGGGCGGGCTGCGGGCACTCAATGACAGGGAAGGTGTGCACCATTCCCGGTGTCCAGGATGCTCGGGCTGAGCTGGGTCTGGGGCCATTGCGGAGGGGGAGCTGCCTCCAGAGCGGTGGTGATCAATCTGTCCTCAGAGATGTGGCTCAGCAAATGTCATGAAAATGCCAGGGAGCGCGGGCTGGCAGGTCACGCTCCCCCGGGCAGGAAGGACCCATCGATTTACTGTCTGAGATCAATGCCGTTGACTTCCCAGCGTACGCCAGGTCCTTTGGCAGGATGAAATATTGAGGCTCCAAAATGCCACCTGAGGGGCTGTCTGAACAGCTTGAGTTCTTGCCTCGCGTGACTTCCCAGGCCCCGGTTCCCCCCAGCCAGCCAGGGAGGCTCCCTGGGCTTGGTGTCCCGCAGCCGTGCCTCTGGGCAGCGTGGATGTGCCAGTGGGCTCACCTGGGGACTTGAGCAGAGACACCAGAGGAGCTAAGCCGCTGGCAGGGGCATCGCTGCTTGCTGCTGCTCTGCTTCCAGCCCCTCCTAAGCACGTTCACACAGGGCTGCAGCCAGGCCAGTGACCAAGAACAGGCAGGATTTGGGATTTGCAAACTCCCTCTTGCTCCCATTGACCTGGTCCCTGGCTCGGGGGGGGCAGCGCATCCAGCTCCCCCTCCACTCCCCATCCCCACAGCAGGGTCTTCTGTGGGCAAAGCCCTTCTTCGGTCCTTGTGGGGTCCTGCTGGGTGAGGATGGGTGTTGGGGTGCGGTAACTTTGCACTTCAGGGTCCTGCTTGCTGCTCGCAGTCTCTCTGCTGAGGATGTCAGCATGGCCGAGGGCATCAAGATCCGTTTATTTCCTTCCCTCTCTGGCTCCCATCGCTGATGGTCCTGGCAGGGGACAGCACCCTGGCAGCTGTGTGGGTGGACGTGACTGATGCCTCCTTTGATGGCTGTTATTTCCCCATCTCACTTCACCCAGCCGCAAATTTCCAGGGAATGGCATTTTAATAGGCAGTTGATAGCATTTTATTATGCAGCGACAGCCGCCTGTGTGGAGCTTTGGGGTCCCTCGTGCCGTGAGTCAGGAGGACGTGTCCCCCTGCTCGTGAGCAGTTGGACTGTGTAAGGATACAGCTGCAGCCGCTGCAGTTTGAGCTCCTTGGTCAGTGGCAGAGAAGAGCATTTCTCCCCCAGGGTTTTTTTGAAGGGGTCCTGGGGCTCAGTATAGCTGGAGTGGACTTCAGAGCAGCCAGAAAGGTGAGGCACTGGCTTTGCCTTCACCCAGCCTTGTGTCCCCAGCTGCCTTGCTGTCCCCTGATCTGGGACTCCCCATCCTCAGCTGCCCCAAATTCCCCTCGGATGCAGGAGGGGAATGTGCTGCTGAAGCCCCAACATGTCGGGCGATAATGCTGAGGGCTGCCCACACACAGCTGGGTCAGGGATCACCCTGAAAAGCATCCCGAGGGCTTGCCAAAGCTGCAGCTGCAGTATGGCCGGAGGCACCTCCTGGTGACGTGTGGGCAAACTTTTCTCCCCTGGCTGGTGTTTCGCAACAGCTTGTGGAGACAACTCCAAGTCCCTGGGTACCACATGCCAGCCAGGCTCACAGGAGATGCTGCAGTCAAAGGCTCCCAGGCAAGTCCTTTAATCCCATAATTAATTTTAATAAAAGCTGCAGTCAGGTTATGAAACCTGATAGAAAAGAAACTGATCTCCTGGGCAAGAATGGTTTCACGGAGAGGGTTTTACACCTCTCCATCACCAGGAAGGCAGTGGCTGCCGGCTCCTGCCTGCCTCAGGTTCATTGCAGTCCCTAGGAAGGGAATTATGGAGGCTGTTTGCTTCAGGGGTAATGCTCCTCACTGCTCTGTGCCCTCGGGGTCAGACTGGTCCCCTGCCACCTTCCTGGTATAACTCAGAGGGATTATTCCTGCTGGGGAGGTGGTATAGAAGCAAAGAGCCCTGTGGTGGGAGAGGCAGCAGAAGCCAGGGATGGGGCGAGTTGCTCCCACTGCTCCCATCCGTGTAACTGGCCAGGGTGGGGAGGGGGGATCCACGCACGCTTCAGGATGGCTGTGGGAGAAGGAGGATGCCAAAACACTGCCTGGGAGTTCTCACCAACTGAATGATCCTTTCAGGATGCAAGGATTCCTCAAGGGGACAGAGCAGAGGGCTGTGAGGGGGGTCGGGAGCTGGAGGGGGTGTGCGGAGGCCGTTGCTCCAGGTCTTCTCTCTGAGCTGGGGGAAGCATCTCTCTGTCCCTGCCATATGGAGCATGTGGTCGGGTCAGGCTCCATGCCACCATCTCCTCTCCAAACGCTTTGTTTCCAAAGAGTCATTTCCCAAAAGTTGCCCATCTGCCCTCCCAGATTTATAGCAGCATCTGCCCGACGGCCAGTTCCTGCCTAGAGACCCATTCCCAGCCCCAGGGGAACCCTCCTGCCCATCCGTGACTGTGCAGCACCCCCACAACAAGCACCCATTCCTTCCTCCATCACCTCGAGCCCCGCTCCCTGGAGATTCCCTCTCTCCCAGCAGCTCATGGAGCTGTTTTCCCCACATGCTGCCGCATGCCCGGAGTGACACAGTATCTCCAGAGCTTCCAGTAAAAAGATTTATCACCATAGCTTTGGGGATTAAAAAACAATCCATCTATGAGGCTGCCCCAGCCTTGTAAGGCTTTTTTTTTTTGTGCTATGGTTGTTTGCAACAGGCATGGGGTGTTTCTTTTTTTCCTTTATGGAGCCAAACTCAAGTTTTACAGTGATGGTCTCATATATTTGGAGCCATGATAGATGGCTCCAGAGAGTGCCAGCGGATTTTTTGCTGTCCCTCTTCAAAAAGCCAAGGGAAGCGTTGTTTTTTTTCGCTTCCTTTGGTATGGGGTAAATCCATACAGCATGAATTTGGCAAAGCCCTTGTGTGCCTGGGAGTGAGCAGTCCCTGGCTGGGGCCGGGCAGCGGGGCGGATTCGGGCTGCCTGGCCGTGGACACGGCACAGCAGCCATTCCCACCAAGATCCCAGCCTTTGTGAGGGGAGCAGGGAAGCAGGAAAATGTCAGGAGACCACAAGGTTGCGCTGGGTTTGAGCTCAGCACTGATTTAGGCTGCTTTTTGAACAATATTTCAGTTATTCCTTTTATTCCAGGTGGCGGTGAAAAGCTAACACACAGTGCCTACAGAGTGGTGATGGGCAGCATAGAGGTAGGCAGGAGGACAAACGGACAGCGAGACGAATATAGGTAGGATTTTATTCTCCTCCTCGGGGACATTTGTGGGCTCGTTTTTTAGCTCCACACCAAAGGCAGCCCACCTTCCCACCCAGTGGCTTCCCAAAGAGCCAGGACTCACGTAGGAACCAGCTTTCCAGGCATCTACACGCTGCGGGGAGGCTGGGAAGAGGCGGCCTGGGAAGCACAGCCCCCGCCAAGGACCTGGGTGGAGGAGCTCAGTGGCAGCTCCAGATGCTCGGGCTGACCCAGCTGCGGTGCAGTGTGACTGTCACCTGCGCTGGGGACGGTCTTCTCTGTGTCACAGCAAACCCAACAGTCCCGGAGGTGCCAGGCCATGCTCGGGGAAGGGATGGGCTCCCCGTACTCCACCTCTCCCCACCTTAGGTCATGCAGGGAGGGGACACACCGGTGCTGGGTGAGCCAAGGGCATCTCCCAGAAGCGAAGGTCTGTGTGTTAAAGGACCCCGCTGCCTGAAATCCCACTGGCCTCATGGCAGGGTGATGGGAAGGACAGAGGTGTGATGCACAGTACCCTTCCCCACAGCCCAACAGCAACGTGCAGGGATAATTTCAGGGGCAAAGCTGCCCATTAAAGCCACTGGGCACCTTCACAAGCATCAACTGGGGCAGGGTTAAAACCCCACTGCAATGGGTTAGAAGAGACAGACTGTCTGGTGAGCCCACGCTTTCTGTTGTCACAATGTGTTGTTGCTAAAGATGACGGAACTCATGTCAGAGGAGCCTGCGTGATGCTTAATTTGGTTCATGGGGACACTTTGGTTAAGAAATGAAAGTGATGCATAATTAGCATTGCAGTAAGTGGATTAAAGCCGGCTGGATGGCAGAGCTCTGGGGCAAGCAGGGACTGCTAACAACTGGCTGTGATTGTCAGCAGGGCTGGGGGGATTGGGCTCAGCCCAAGGCCCCCACATCATCCCTGAGCAGGTCCCCAGGGCTTGGGGAGTGCAAACTGAGGATCCCGAGACTGACCTGGAGGACAACAGTCTGTGAAGGGCTTCCCCACAGCCCACAAAAGCCGTGCTTAGGGTCCCCAGCATACATGTCCCAGGGGTCTGCCCTGGTCCCCCGTGTGAGACATGGAGGATGAGGGAGCATCAGCTTTCCAGTCCTCATTGGGGTGGAACAAATTCTAGCATGAAGAGGAAGTCTGGGATGCCCAGACTGGAAAAATCTAACTTTTATCTAGTTTTATATATATTTAGGACCAGTGAAACGTGAGCACAAGTTCCCAAGGGAGGTGGTGGAGTCCCTCAAGGGGAAATGCACCCATGGATTGGGTGCTTTTCTATAAGGTCAGCTTCTCTCTGAATGTGGTTTTGAGGGTATTTGCTTCTGCTAAGGACCTGGTCTGCCAGGAAGGGAACAACAGGCCTTGCTCCTACACTCCACCGTGCCCAGATGGTATCTTCCCCTCCCTCCTGGTACCCAAAGCACCTGGCAGTACCTAGTCTGACCCCCTCTTAAAATTAGTTTGCAATGAAAACAAGTAAAAACCTAAGATGTAGACCCATGCTCAGGACTAGACCCCAGCTGTCTCTGCTGCAACGTTATTACAGCAGCAGACTTTAATTAGAGGGTTTTA